GTGCTTGTGCTTGTGTATGTGTGAATGCACCTTGTGGGCATGTGTACAGTCTAAGCTTGTGCCTGGGTGTGTGCACATGGGTCTGCATCCATGCACGAGCCTGTCTTCTGGGGAGTTACGTGGACACGAGGTCTGTGTGCAGGTGTCTCCATCGAGGTCTGTATCACCTAGCATATTAATGTGCAGTGTTTGCATGCGTGTGTATGTGGGTGTCTAAGGACACTTATATGAACATACCTGTGTGCATCTGTGGGTCCTGTGCATGTATATATATGCACACATGTGTGTGCTTCCATGCTGCTGGGAGTGTGTGTGGACTTATGTCTGCAAGTGTCTAGGAGTGGGGCTGATTTAGCTGGTGTGTGCTGAGCCAAGGTGGGGCAGGAAGGCAGCCCTAGGGAGTGAGTATGAAGGGCTTGTGTGCAAGCCTCCTGAGCCTTCCAGCAGGCTCTTTCTCTTCCTCACAGGCACTCTTGTGAGAATCCTCCACCTTCCTTTGGGTTCTGGGAAGCCAGGGCTCTGTGCGACCCAGCTGCCAACTCGGGCTATGGTGCAATCTGCTACCCGAACGCCTTCCGGAGCTGTGGGTTCCTCTGGGCGTGGGGAAACTGCCCTCTACAGACTCCCCTGTTGTCTCCTTGCCTCCTGGAGGGCAGGGCACACCCCCAACCCTGCGGCCTCACCCACAGGAAGTGCTGGGGTTGGGGGACAAGCAATGGGGGAGGTGCTACACTGGGCGTCCCGCCCTAAGCCTGTGGCCCCACTGACCCAGCTGCACCACAGCCCTTTTGTCAACAGCTCCTGAGACATCACTAGGACGTGGGGCCCCGCGGCCACAACCATGTTTGGCAGGAAACGCAGCGTCTCCTTTGGGGGCTTTGGATGGTAGGTAACAGAGGGGGGGCAGTTGAAGGGATGGGAGTGAATCTCTCTGGGAAGTCTTGGATCTACTGTGACTGCCCGTGGGAGCGCAAGAGTGGCAGGCTCGGGTTGTGCCTGGGTGGGTAGGGTGGCATTTCAGATGCCAGGGCTGGATGGAGATGGTGGGGTATCAGACACTAAGTTTCTTCTCACTGTCCCTGGAGTACGATCTAGGTGTGCGCAAGACTGCATGGCTGTGGTTGAATGTGTGTGTCTGTGTCATGTTCCCATGTATGTGAGGTGCCTCTGTGATGATTGTGGGTGTGTGTGTGGCTTGTCTGCAGCTGCCAGTCTGTGCGGCCGTGTATGAAGTGTGTGCCTGGCCGGGTAGGTGTGTTATGGATGTGTTATGGATGTGAGCATGTGTGTACTCTGGATTTCCAAGAAGGTAGGCTGCAGCTCTGTTCTTTTGTAGCTTTGTGGGCTCTCTTGTCTTTGCATGTGTGCCATGCTCCTGTCTGTGTCGTCTCTGTATGTGACTTTGGGGGCTTCTGTGGCCCACTGCACCTTTGGGCTGCCTCCTCTGTGGGGGTGACCTGTGAGGGGAGGGGCAGACCTGTCTCCTGAGGTCCCTCCCCCCGCCCCACCCGGCAGCCAATCCCAGCTCTGTCCAAGCCTGCATAGTTGGCTTTGTGCTCGTCTCTTGCCTGGCCCTTGGGGCCACTTTTTGCCACTGAGCTTTTTTTTTTTTTTTTTAAGATTTTATTTATTCATTCAGAGAGAGCGAAGAGAGAGGCAGAGACACAGGCGGAGGGAGAAGCAGGCTCCGTACAGGGAGCCCGACGCGGGACTCGATCCCGGGTCTCCAGGATCACACCCCCAGGCTGCAGGCGGCGCTAAACCACTGCGCCACCGGGGCTGCCCGCCACTGAGCTTCTGTGTGGGACAAGGGAGAGGCTCTTTCTCCCCAGGGGGCCAGAAAATGGGGAGACTGAGGTCAAAGACTTGTCTCTGGCTCCCAGCTGCTGGCAGCTTCTCCTCTGTTGGGGAACGGGGTCTAGTGGTTTTCATTATCGGTTTCCTTTTAGCTTCTGGATCTGGGGTGTTGTCAAAGAAGAAAGAGGTTCCCACTGCTGCAGGGGGTGCCCTGGTGTGGAGGCTGGTGGCTGACTGGGGGTCGCACAGGGGCTGGGGGATGGAGTGGGCGGGCTCTGCCCCTCTGACCGGTTATGCTTCTGTGTGGGTGCAGTGTCTGACTGCCCTTCCCTTCTCCCTGAAGGCACTTGGCCACCCATCCTGCGGCAGGAAGGATTGTGGGTGCTCCATGCTTGGCAGATGGGGAGAGTGAGGAGGAGATCGTGCTAGAGCTGGCACAGTGTGGCCTGGTGCCTGCTCACAGACCCTCTCTGACGCCCGGGTCAAGGAGTTGCTGTCCTGAGTGTGGGCTCTCGGTTCGAAATACCTTGTCTGCTTCCCAGTCAGGCTGACTGGGATCGCTACAGGGCAAGGTCCAGGCCATGAGAGAGTTTCCACTGAGAGCCATGCTTCTCAGGAGGCATGGAACAGACCGAGGAACTGTGTATGGTGCATTGCACATGCGTAATACGTGCTTCTAGGATGACTGAGTGACGTTTTGTCCAGGACAGGCATTTGGTTAGGGGCTCATTGAGTTTGAGGAGACAGCAGGGCTTCCTGGTGGGGTTGGAGGGTTAGAGTAGGCATTGTCTGGAGACGACCGGAGACTGACGTGCAGATAGCTAGAGCCCTGGTCCACTCCAGGTGGGGGACAGCGTCTTGAGGGCTGGTGTTCTAGGAGCTCCATTGGATGCCAGGGTGGATGACCAGTAGCATCTGGGGTAGACAAGGTGAGGAGAGGGAATGGCATGGGGCAGGTGGGTGGTGGGGAGTCGGAAGGGGCCCAGAGAACCTAGGGGGTTTGGCTTTCTAAAAAGAGAAAAGCCCAGTGTTGCAGGCTCTGCTCTGTGTCTTGTGTCAATGTAGCTGAGGCCAGCAGCCCTGGCCTCCCAGGGCCACACCCCAGCGTGGAAACCCTGTGGACAGAGCGTTAGGTAGGTGTGGATGTGGGTGCTGGGCCAGGGGTTGCTGTGACCCACAGCGCCACCGCGTGGTGTGCTGGTTGGGTTGAGAGGGTGCCATACCAGAGGGCCCGGTTCTAGTACTGACTCCACCTTGACTCATTGAGGAACTCAGACAGGATACTTCCCCTCTCTGGCTCTCAGTTTCCCCATGTAGGGGATTTCCACCTTATACACAACGTAAGGATGTTGTAAGAAATAAAAGAGGGGATCCCTGAGTGGCGCAGCGGTTTGGCGCCTGCCTTTGGCCCAGGGCGCGATCCTGGAGACCCGGGATCGGGTCCCGCGTCGGGCTCCCGGTGCATGGAGCCTGCTTCTCCCTCTCCCTCTGCCTGTGTCTCTGCCTCTCTCTCTCATTCTGTGTGACTATCATAAATAAATAAAAATTAAAAAAAAAAAAAAAAAAAAAAGAAATAAAAGAGATTCCTTGAGAAGATGTAAAATGTAAGAGCTTATTGTTAGGAGTTACAATTAGGTAGTTTTCGGCTACAAATATTATAATAGAATGTGGAGATCTCCCTCCTGGATTCACCCTACCCCCCATTTGGGGGCTGAATGGGAGAGGAGTACCACCTGCATGCCAGAGGGATCAGGGGTCCTATGAGACCTTTGAGGACAGGTTGTGGAGGCTCCATGGAAAGGGGCCTAGGATGCAGTGGGGAAGAAGCTGGGAGGGACCTGGGGCGGGAGCCCTAGGGTATGGCTTGTTTTGCTGCTGGGAACTGGTATTAGAGGTGCTGAGAGTTTACTCAGAGCAAAAGGATCCCACCTCCCAGCTCAAGGGCTTGGTGCTGACCTGCGATTACTGGGGCAGCTCTGTGTCCTTCCTATGTAGCCCCTGACACTGCTCCTGTCCCTGTGCTGCCCTAGTAGTCGCCTGGATAGGAAGCTTGTGGCTAAGCTGGCTGACTGCATGGGGTGGCTGAACGATCTTTCCAGGGTTTCAAGCATCCTGGATTTTGTACTCATGGTCATGATGACGTGGTGGTGGTGACACTGAAGGTGGTGGTGACACAGGGGGGTGGTGGGGGTACTGATGATGGTGGTGACATGGGGTGTGGTGACACTGATGGTGATGGTGACAATAGTGTTGACATCGCGGTGGTGGTGACAGTGAAGGTGATGGTGACACAGGTGGTGGTGGTGACACAGGCGGTGGGGACACTGAGTGGTGGGACACTGATGACGGTGATGGTGACATGGGGTGTGGTGACACTGATGGTGATTGTGACAGCAGTGGTGTTGATGACATGGTGGTGATCGTGACATTGGTGGTTATGACCCCTAAATAAGAGGAGACACTGACAAGTGGGAATCTAGCCCACCTTTCTGTCTCTCGAGAGAGGAAGGGGCCTCTTTTACCAGCCATAAGGGCTGACATATGCAGAGGGTAAAAATAGAAGCTTAGCAGCACTGCCTTGTCTTCCAGCAAGGGTGGGTGCAGGCTGGGGTGGAGGAGCTGGCTGCCAGGACAGTCTGCCGTAAATGTGATCTTCCTTGCTCTGAGCTGCATGCATGACAGATCCCACTTGCCCATGCACCATGGAGTCTGCTTTTGGGTTCTGTCTCAGGAGTGGGGTCTGTCGCCTCGCATGGACTGGCAGCTTCCAGGATAGGAGGGTCCCTGGTGCTGGCATCTTTCTAAAGCAGAAGCCTAGGAAATATCAATGTGTTGAATGTTTAACTGCTAATGACTGATGAAGCTGGTTTGCAGAGTTCTCTTGAGGAGTGGGGGTAATGAAAGGAGATGCTATATACACAGTGCTTGGGATTTCTGGGTGTGCAGTCAGAACCTGGATTCTGGCTGGGCCAGTCATGTTATCCATATCTCTAAAATGGGAAGAATAACAGTACCTGGCTCATGGGGTTATGTGTGGCTCCCTCCCTTTCTGGGCTGGAGGAGAGCTCCCCTATGTAGGGACTGTCCCCTGCAGGATCCTGTTGGTTTGGTAATCTGGACTGGCCCAGGGACCTCCCCTGCAGATGGGGTGGGGGAGCCTTCAGCCTCAGCACTGACCGCAGACTTTGTTTTTCTCTCGGCAGGATCGACAAGACCATGCTGGCGAGCCTAAAGGTCAAGTAAGTAGCCATTTCCCATTGTGTGCCAATCAGAGATGATGGTAGTCCAGAGCACCTCTGGGGCCCTTATGTCCCCCTGGACTGTGGGAAACATGCACGGGGCTGTTGGATTTGTCAGATTCTCCATCTCAGTCTTAGGGGTTTAGGATTGGAGAGGTTGGACCAGGCTCTTGATTCCTAAGACATCTGGAGAAAGGCAGATGCTGGAATGGAAGCAGCAGGTGCCAGGTCGATGGTAATGTGTGTATGTTTTAGGTTGTAACTTGGTGTAAGGAAGATAATTATATTTCCTATCACTGTGGTTATTACATGAAGCCTCCAGTCCATCAAGCTTTCTGAAATTTCTACCTACCTGGAAAATTGTGCCACATAATTCTAGAACCTCATAAAATACCCCAGTGTGTGCGTGCCTGTGTGTGCGTGTGTGTATGTGTGTATGCATGTGCCTGTGCTTGGGCACATATGTGTGGTCAGTTGGGCATTGAGTCATATGTCACCAGACAAACGTCATCCTGAGAGCCCAGCCCTGGGGCTCTCTGAGGCTTCAACACCAGATTTGGGGTCTGGGAATTGCCTGCTGCGCTTGGCTTTATGTCTGCTTGTCTGTATGGGAAGCTCTGAGTAGACATATCTCTCCTAGAACCTCCAACTCCTCTTCCATCACCATCTTTGCTCCTTTTCCATGTGTGTTTCTGGCCAAACCATTTTGTTTGCATCCTGATCCCCTTTCTTCCTACAGACTAAAAAAAATCAGCTTTTATCTTCATTCCTTCCCTGGACAGTGAGTACTGACCAACCATCTGCTCCAATTGAGTGACTTGAAAAGGAGGGAAATTCTAGGAGGAAAAAGTAGCATTGGTCACTAGCCCACAATATTATTCTGCCATATGTGAATTAGCTTGTGCATGAAAAATTTCTCCAATGAGTGTTCTTCTTCAGAGGCAGCTTTTCCCACTGGCAGCATTCCATCTCAGCTGAAAGGTTTTCCAGGCCGGCCTCCCTCTGCCATGCCATTTAGTTGCTAGCACTGGCTGTGTATGCCCTGGATACAGGTCACTGGGCAAAGCACAGCCAGTCTTGAGGATTGGAATATAGAGGGTGAGGCTTCCCACTATAATCTTTTACTCAGAAGGGTAAGGGTGAACAGTTAGCAGGGAAGGGATGTATGACAAACAGTCCCTGCATTCTGAGAGCTTTTTGTCTCTCTGTAGACTTGGTGCCAGAGGTGCAGTGGGAGCAGTCTTGGAAGACTGCCAGGACGAGGTAACTTCTATAGCAGTTCTTGAAGATGGGATGGGACAATGGGTACACCTGTGCCTATGATGGTTGGCATGAGGGTGTGTGTGTAATAGTACAGCTCAGTGTTCAGGGCAAGTCACTCCTGGGCAAGATATTTAACTTCTCCAGACTTCAGTTTTTGTATCATTTGTCCAGTGGGCAAAATGATGTTGGATTTTCCTAGAGCTTCTTTTTTTTTTTAATTTTTTTATTTATTTATGATAGTCACACACAGAGAGAGAGAGAGAGAGGCAGAGACATAGGCAGAGGGAGAAGCAGGCTCCATGCACCGGGAGCCCGACGTGGGATTCGATCCGGGGTCTCCAGGATCACGCCCTGGGCCAAAGGCAGGCGCCAAACCGCTGCGCCACCCAGGGATCCCTTCCTAGAGCTTCTTATCTACAGATTGAGGTTTAGGCATGAGAGAGGGTTACTAAGGGATGCAGAGTGGTAGGACTGTTTCTTTTGGTGTTATTTTGGGTTCCTAGTTCAGTTTCACAAGCATTTATTGAGGGCCTATTTAACTGGTAAAGATAATGTAGGTAGGGGCACCTGGGTGGTTCAGTGATTGAGCATCTGCCTTTGGCTCAGGTCGTGATCCCAGGGTCCTGGGATCAAGTCTCGCATCGGGCTCTCCACAGGGAACTTGCTTTTCCCTCTGCCTGTGTCTTTGCCTCTCTCTCTTTGTCTCTCATGAATAAATAAAATCTTAAGAAAAAAAAAAGATGGTGTATGTAAAACCTGGAAGGGAGCTAGTTACAAGGTGGCTGAGGGAACTGGCAAATTTTGAGATTGGGACCCCGGTGGGTATCTGGGGTACACTTTGAGTGCTTTAGTCCTGGGGAGGTGGTGTTGAGATGGTTGTTTGGGACAGTATGTAGGACTGTGTTCTTACTTGTGCTTGGTTAAGAGTCTTCTGATTGCAAGAAAGAAAAAAACTCAGTGTGATCTGGTTAAACAAAAAATTACAGAAAAGATCCCAGGGTATCTCAGGGAACCCAGGGGAGGAGGTGGAGCTAGAGTTCAGGAAGGCTTGAACAGGACCTGGAAACCCTCCAAAACCCTCAAAATCCCAGCTGGTTTCTTTGCAGTAATTGCTAAACTGATCCTAAAATTCATACGGAAATTTAAGGGTAATCTTGAAAAAGAATAACAAAGTTCGTGGACTGTACTTCCTGATTTTGAAACTTACTACAAGTCTATAGCAATCAAGACAGTTTGGTACTGGCGTGAGGATAGCTGTATAGATCAATGAAATAGAATTTAGAGTCCAGAAATAAACCCTCACATTTGCGGTCAGTGGATTTCCAACAAGTGTGTCGTGACCATTCAATGAAGAAACATAGCTTTTCAACAAATGGGTGCTGGGACAACTCTACCCACATACAAAAGAATGAAATTGAGACCCTCTCTCATACCATATATGAAAATTAACTTAAAATGGATCAAATATCTAAATGTAAGAACTAAAACTATACAACACTTAGAAGAAATCATGGATGAACATTTTTGTGACTTTGAATAAGGCAATGATTTCTTAACAGTGACACCAAAAGCATAGCAATGACAACAGGAACAGCACGTTGATAAATTGGACTTCATCAAAATGAAAAACTTTTGTGTAACAAAGGACACCATCAAAAAAGTAAAAAGGCAACCACAGGGTGGGAGAAAATATTTGCAAATCACGTATCTGATAAGGGACTCATATCTAAGATATATAAAGAACCATTTCAATTCAATAATACAAAGACAACACACTTAAAACATGGGCAAAGGATTTGAATAGACATTTCTCCAAAGAAAGTATATGAATGGACAGTAAGTACATGAAAAGATGTTCAGCATCATCAGCCACAGGGAGATGCATATCAAAGCCATGGTGAGCTACTCCTTTATAGCCTCTAGGATGACTATAATCAAAAAGAAGATGATGACAAGCATTGGTGAGGATGGGGAGAAACTGGAATCTGCATGCCCTTATATATGCTGCTACTGGGAACGTAAACTCGTGAAGCTGCTTTGGGAAACACTCTGGCAGTTTCTTAAAAGGTTAAACATCAGGCGCCTGGGTGGTTCAGTCGGTTGTGTCTGCCTTCAGCTCAGGTTGTGGTCCTGGGGTCCTGGGATTGAGCCCCACATTATGCCCCTGCTCAGCAGAGAACCTGCTTCTCCCACTCTGCCTGCTTCTCCCCACTGCTTGTGCTCTCTCTTGCTCTCTTTCTCTCAAGTAAATAAATAAAATCTAAAAAATAAAAAAAAGTTAAACATAGAGTTACCAAATGACCAGCAGTTCCTTTCTGAGATATATACCCAAGAGAAATAAAAATATATGTTTGTATAGAAACTTGTAACATGAATGTTTATAGCATTATTAATAATAACCCAACGTGGAAACAACCCAAAAGTTCATCAGCAGATGGATGGGTAAACAAAATGTGACATATCAATTCCATGGCATGTTATTTGGCCATCAAAAGAAATCAGATATTGATACATGTTACAACATAGATGAACTTTGAAAACATCATGCTAAGTGAAAGCCACAAAACACCACATACTGTATGATTCCATTTATACTGAGTGTCTAGAACAAGCAAATTCATAGAGATAGAAAATAGACTCATGGTTTCCTAGGGCTGGGGAGGTTGTTGGGGAGAATAAAGGGAGAGTGCTTGCTAAAGAAGCCTCTCTGTGAGATGGTGTAAATATCCTGGGGCTAGATAGTGGTGCTGGTGGCACAACTTTGTGAATATATTAAAAACCATTGGATTGTATACTTTAAAATGGTGAATCATATGATATATAAATTACATCTCAGTGCAACCTAAAAAAGAGAAAGAATCTTACTGGCCCAGCTCGGATCATTGTGTAACCCTGGACCAGTCAGTTTCTCTGGAGGGATGGGGTTTTATGGATAATATATGGCTGCTGTGGTCATCACTCTATGTGAGAGGAGTTCGTTCTCAGAGAGGAAGGGTGGATTGTGGGCTGGGCAAACACCATAAGAGGTTTTATCTAGCTGCCCCCACTGCCCTTGGCACTAAAAGGGAGTTTTTTTTTTTTTATTAAAGATTTTATTTATTTGACAGAGAGAGTACAAGCAGGGGGAGTGGCAGAGGTTGAGGGAGAAGCAGACTCCCTGCTGAGTAGGGAGCTTGACTTGGGGCTCCATCCCAGGACCCTGGGATCATGACTTGAGCCAAAGACAGATGTTTAACCAACTGAGCCACCCAAGTACCCCTAAAATGAGCTCAAAGAATGTACCCATTCTTCCATCCTTCTTCCTCCCCCCACTGGTGGTACCTAATACGGGGCTCTGCCTGGATGTCCAGGATGCGGCTCTGCACACTGATGTGTCCATTAGGCAGCCAGCTACACAGGCTACAGCTCTCCTAGGCACCAACATGCCACCTCCATCTGCCTCTGCTAGGTAAGATACCTTTTTGTCTACTAGGGTAGCCCATTGGCCTCACAGAGCACCAAACCCCCTCTGGGCAGTGGCCTATGCTCCCAGTTGCTTTGGCTCCTTCTCCAGGGACTTGGTACTCTCCACACAATCAGCCACCTACCTCCTGGAGGCCACACAGCTCTGAAGATGGGGGTTCTGGCCCTGGCACTGTTGGAGCACTTATGTGTGCTAACTTGTCACCTGTTGCACAGTTTCCCTGAGGTTTCACAGCCACCTTCTGAAGCGGTTGCCACTACTCTACATGTTAAAA